CCCCCCCCCCCCCCCCCCGTTCCTCAGTAAGCACTGAAGGTACAGATTAGATTTGGAAACCCTTCAAAGGGTTACAAGTAGAAAATAAAGATCAGGCGTGGTGGTGCACACCTTTAATCCCAGCACACAGGAGGCCTGGGGGCTCTCTGTGAGATCCAAGCCAGCTTGGTCTATGTAAGTTCTAGGCCAGCTGGAGCTATAGAGAGACCCTTTCTCAAAAAACCAAAAGGAAAAAAAAAAAGAAGAAACTATGCAAAGCCTTAATTCCTAACTTAACCTGGAAACCATTAAAGGTGTGAAGGTGTGAACCTGTGGCAGAATGGCTGAGGGTCCTGGCTACCACCTCCGGGGAAACAAAAGCTTGTACATGCCACCAACATTGAAAGCCTTTTCCTTTGCTTCAGTCATCACTAAAAAGTGCTCAGCATCTTAATTAGCTGCCCATCCCCTGTACAGTCTTAACCCTCCTTGACCATTAGTGCATAGGAAGCTTTCACTGCTGGAAAGATTGGTTGTGCAGAACTCTATGCAGGGACCTAGCTGCTGCCTTTTACAGAGGCCGGTATTCTCCACAGCACCCTGCACATCCCCAGACACCAGAAGATACACAGATACCTAGAGCTTGATCAGGAAATGGTAAGTCACCACAGAAAACTCTGATTCCTGGGACAGACAGCAGAAAGAGAGAAGAACAGAAAAGCCATTTCCACATAGTCTTAAAAAGAAAAGGGAGTTACAAATTTACTTCTAAATACTCAATGAAAGGAACAGGCACAGTTCAGTGGTAGAGCACTTGCCTAGAATGCACGAGGCCCTAAATTCCACCCCCAGTTCCACTAAATGAAACAGGAAGAAAAAAAAACAATAAACAAGAATAAACACTAATAGTTCAAAAAAACCAAAAAGATATTCTTGAATCTGTTAATCAACAGTAAGAAAAGAAAAATTAACAGTCTTAAACCTTACCTTTCCATCAAAGAAATGATGGTTAAACATGTTATAACGGCAAAAGCTATCTTCCAAGTAAAACTGGGAATACCTGTAAAATAATTCATTACTGAAGTAACTTGGCCAAGCATATATGTGTACATATATGCAGATATGTATAGTAAATGAACATACACTAAGCTACTTTTAAATTACAAAATCACACCTTGTTTAAATAAATTTCATCATTCTTTGATTTTTTTTTAAAATAAAGAATATAAAATTTTCAGTCAATCTGTAACAGTACATACTGAATTTATTTTCCCCAGCAAGCCAGTGGCAACACTACAGAATACTCGCATATAAAAGGTACATGTTCAGGGCTAGAGGTTAAGAATACTTGCTGGTCTTCCAGAGCACCCAAGTTCGATTCCCAGCACCCATATGGTGACTAACAACCATCTGTAACTCCAGTTCCAGGAGACCCAATACCCTCTTCTGGCCTCTGCAGGCATTGCATGCAAGTGGTGCACTTGTATACATGCAGGCAAAACACTCATACACATAAAATAAAAATAATAAATAAAAGGTATATGCCCAAGGCTGGTAGCATTGGCCTTTGAGCCCAGCTACTCAGGAGGCTGAGAAAGGAGGATTGGGAGTCCAAAGCCAGCCTGAGCTATAGAGTTACTTCAAGGGCACTTAGTGAGACCCTGTCTCAAATAAAAAAAAAATTTAAAGGTTGGAGATATAATTCAATAATAGCACAACTGCCTAATATTCATAAGGTGCTGGGTTCAAATCCCTGTACTACAAAACAAGCAAGCAAAAGACATGTTCTTATGTCTCACATAAGCAACTGGACTACTGACATACTATTATGTAATTTAAGCTTGCAATTAAACTCTCTCATGGTTATTTTTAATTATGTGTATATGTGCATTTCTATATTTGGGTTTGTACACCTGAATATAGGTGCCCACAGAGGCCAGAGGGCATCAGATCCCCAGAGCTGGTTATAGGTGGTTGTAAGCTGCCTAGTACAGGTACTGAGAACCAAACTTGGGTCCTCTACAATAACAGGACACATTTTTAACCACTGAACCAGACCCCCAGGTTAATAATTTTAAGGAAATACTAAGTCAACATTTCTGCTCGACAGCTGTTATTTCTTCTGTGATTAGCCTTAAAAAGTATTTAATGCAAAGTTTTCTTTAATACAAATTAATAAACTATACTTCTCAACAAAAGATTAAAGGAAGTATGAGCACTTCATATTTGCTGCATTTGTGCCAGGAGTGAGGGATATTATTTACTGAATGAATTATTCTACTCTGCTAACCACTACTCCAAAATGCCATCAGAAATGAATGCGAGTGCTAGCCAGGGAATTCACTTTTTTATATTTTTGTTTATTATTTTTATTTATTATTTTATTTTATTGGTCTTCTTGAGACAGGGTCTCCCTGTAGCTACAGCTGTCCTGGAACTTACTGTGTAGACCAGGCTGGCCTTGAACTCACAGAGATCCACCTGCGTCTGCCTCCCAAGTGGTGGGATTAAAGGCATGCGCCACCATGTCTGGCTACTATTTTTATTTTATTTTATGTATGTGAGCATATTTCCTGCATGTATATGTATCGTGCAATGCCTTTGGAGGTCAGAAGAGGGTGTCTGTGGGCTCCCCTGGAACTGGAGTTACAGATGGTTGTTAGCCACCATGTGGGTGCTGGGAATCGAATTCAGGTCCTCAACAAGAGCAGTTAGTGCTCTTAACCACTGAGCCATCTTTACAGTCCAAAGGAATTCAGATTTTATAATTTTTTTTTCTAATTTGCTAGGCAAAACTTATAGCACATAATGGTTTAAGTTTGTATTTATTTGATCATGTACAAGACTGAGTTTTCTCTACATCCAGTGGAGCTAAACTGCCTCTTTCTTCCTCATTATGTAGTTGAATCTTGTTTTCTGAGTTTTTCACACAGTACATGTGACTTTTGTTACTTCCAAAGAATCCTGAACTTTGTCTCTTATAACAACAACAACAACAACAACACCCCACAGCATCCTTCTTGAAAAGATTTGAAAGAGGAAAAAGTCAGGGATACAGCCTACTTCTACAAGTCCTTGAACCAAATCACTGTAAGACACTTTGCTTGCACTCTGAATCCCTTGCCATTGTAATGGGTTGGCCTCTGGCGGTCAAATAAGGTTCTTACAGAGGACAGTCCTGGTCCTCCCTCTTCTGATTATACTGTGGTAGGAACACAGGCTTGGTGGTCAGAAGGCCTGCTTTGAAACTCAGGGTCACTCAAATACTACGTGAGCTCAGGAAGTAAATTATTCTGATCTTCAGTTTCTTCATCTACAAATGGGAAAAAAATAATTTGATAGGACTTCATAGAGTGAGGTTATATATATATATACATATATATAAACTGTTTCACAGGATGGCAGCTACATAGTATACACTAAAAAGTGATTTATCTTAATAAATATTAGCCTTAGCCACAAAGATTTATATCATAATACCACCAATTAGGTTCACATTTAGCAAAATATGATCTAAGCTTATTTCTTCTTGTATGGAGAAGGAAGAACAGCTGTTCACCATTCTTAGTACAATATCCTTTAATGTCATCTAAGATGCAGTTAGCATATCTGCTGATTTCATAAAACATTAATTTACACTGAAGAAATAAACAAAGGCTTGGATAACTTAAAAATAGTCAAACCACACATTGAGCTTAATGACCATTCTCAAACTATAAAGCAATTTCAATTACCACTAATAAACAAATATATACACCCATTTAACTAATCAAGCCAACTGGTTTTGGTTTGTTAATTTGTTTTTGTTTTCTGAGAAAGGGTCACATTCGTTCTGTAGCTCAGGCTGGCCTGCAACTCACTATGTAGCACAGGCTGGCCTGGAACTCAAAGTGATCCCACTGCATCGGGCTCCCAAGGGCTGGGATTATAAGCATGACCACCGTGCCAGGTTCCCTTCTTTTTCAAATCAATACTAGTAGAGCTTGTTGGTCTGCTTTCATTTGAGGGCATTCTGTCTCACACTGTTTTATGAATAATAATAACAAAAAATATAATCCCCTTTTAATTTTTTTATATTTTATTATTTTTATTTAATGCATATGCATGTATTGCCTGCATGTAGGTAAGTGCACCCATGTCATGCAATGCCCATGGAGGACAGAAGAGGTTGTCGGGTCCCCTGGAACTGGAGTTACGGACAGCTGTTAGCTGCCATGTGGGTGCTGGGATTCGAACCCAGGTCTTCTGCAAGAACAACCAGTGTTCTTAACCACTGAGCCAGCTCTCCAGCCCTGAATCCCCTTTTAATTTAATCTCTGTTTTCTTCATTGCTTTACAAAAGTATTAAAAAGAGAATTTGATTCACATCAAAACCAGCACAGCACACCTGCCCACAGCATTCTGGGCAGCAGTGTGTTGAGTCAGAGAGAGAAAAAGTCAAGACTTCAGTTCTAAGTTTCCATCAAACACAAACAAGGGCGCATAATTATTCATATTTTAAATTACATTTTTTTAAAACGACCCAACATTGCCCTCTTAAAAAGAAATTGGCCACAAAGAATTATTTTCTCCATTGAACAAGGCAAACAAAACCAATGAGGAACGCCACACTTGAAAACTGCTCAAAAGGACATGCATTTAATCTGGCCATTCATTCTTTTTAAATGAGAGTCAGTCACCAAGTGTGAAGCCTGCTCTTCACAGGAAATGTAATCAAGAGTTGAATAAAATTACTTCATAAAATGAACCTAAGAAATTCCATTTTTTGCTATAACTTTATTTGGATAATAGTTTACCAAATACAGTCTCACATCTTTCATGCTAAAATTAGTGCATACAGAAATCCATCTTAGAAAATGTTAACTTCATATCACACAGTCCCAACAAGGTATTTATAGCTCATGAACAGAGAATGCTGCAGTTGAGGTAGTTCTTACGGGCCTTGGACAGGTGTTTCATAAGGCAACAAGAAACTAAAGTGCCTTGAACTTGTTGCAGCAGTCCTCCTGCCTCAGTCTCCCAAGTTTAGGAGTACAGGCATGAGCCATCAGGCCTGGCTATACAAATTTCTTGTAAGAACTACCAAGGCGACCCATGAGAACTGCCTTCAAAAGGCATGCCTCCCAGTAAGGACCTCCCACTAGGTCCTAACTTGAAAAGTTCTACTACCTCCGTATCTCAGGACACTGGAAGCCAAGTCTTTATTTAACACATGGGCCACTGGACTAAATAAAATATCAAAACAAGTCCTGTATAAATAAAATATGGTATATCCAAACTTATTCATCCATGAAAAAAATATGTACTGATATATGGTATCACACAGATGAACTCTGAAAAGGCCATCTATTATATATTCCTTTTAAATGAAATCCCAGAGAGGCAAATCCACAAAGAAGGCAGAAAATGGTTCCGAAGGCTGGGGAAGGAGAGAATGCTCACTGGGAGAGCGTTTTGTCAAAGGTGTTAAAAATGTTCTAGAATTAGAGACTGATGGTGGTAACATGATCCTGTGGACATACCTAGAAACCACAGCTTTGTATGTGTTAATATATCTCAATTAAAAAGAAAAGCACCTAAAATACAGAATAAAGGCTGTTATAAGCTTACTTTTTTAAATGTTTAAATGCATAAAAAGATTTTAAAAAGGAGATCCTAGCAGACAGCCTGAGAGGGTGGGTTCAGACCTCCATGGGGTAGCGGCTCAGAGCTCAGCAGACCGCCAGAGTGCTGAGTTCTGGCCTCACTCTGGCCTCCAACTACCAGAGGGCCTGAGAACCCAGGGGACTACCTGACAGCCCCCGGATCCTGCCTCCACATGGTGGTCCTTTTAATAAGATGATGCTATACAGCAGTCCCTTCTGCATGAAATAACTACCATCATCACGACTTTGGCTGAGCCTGATCGCTAAACATAGTCACAATTGGGCTTGATGGTTGTGCTCATTCATTAAAGGAGTGCCAAGCAGGGTCACTGGACCCTCACCTGAGAATCCAGCCACTCTTCCCAGCCAACTAGTCCAGCCTGGGAAGAAAAAAGAAAAATGAAGAAGAACCCAA